TCACACTCTTTAATTCATCATACTGTTCTTGACTGATGAAATCAGTCTCAAGCTTCTGCTAATGATCTGATGAATCTTTCTTCTGATGCTGTAATCCCAAGTACTCACTATGTCAAATTGATAAATCAGACAGAGGTTAATTGATGAAGAGAGCAAGGTCTGTGTCTGAGATGCAGAGCTAAAGATCATATGATTAAGAGCTACTTGTTCAAATCTCTCAGACGCTCTGCCACCTCCATGATAGTTAAAGTGATCTCTGAGCTGGTACTGGATGATGACAATATGAATATAAGTGAGGATTTGGGAAAAGAGTAGCTCCAACCAAAAGACACTGGAAGAAGTGAAATAAAGAGCTTATGAGAAAGCAATAGAGAAGATTTAAATCTAAGATGATATTCAAACTCTTCACTGTTGATGCTCTAGTAGATAATGCCTTTTCAACTAGAGCAATGATAGACAGTGAATGTAATATCTATGATCTTATTTTTCAATTCTACATTAACAAGCATAAGCTCTTATGCATTGAAATTCCCTCTGTTAAAATGACCAGCTTTGAAGACTCTATGGGACTCTCCATGAGCATAGTGGCTGGTATTCAAATTGATATAGGCAGTCATGTAACTGAACAGGCCTTTCTCTATATGGTAAATGAGTTACATGATCATAATATATATCTAGGTGACCTCTAGCTGACCCAGCAAAAGACAACTATGATCTCTTATTAAAAAATTGTGAGATTTAAAGAGAGTGATATAGAGGTAGAGTCTAGTTCAAATGCAAAAGCTGATGTGATTCTCATCTCTGCTGTAAACTTCTCCAGACTTGTGAGCACTTGAGAGAAGTGAAACATTGAGATCTTCACCATCAGTTTGACTAACATTCAAAAGGCTCTAGAAGTGAAATCAAAGATTAACTCTAGAGAAAAGCTGCCTGATCATTATCATGAGTTTTTGAACATATTTGATAAGGAAGCCACTGACACTCTACCCCCACTTCATGACTCAGATAGAGATCATGGGATTGAACTGATTAAAAAGATTGATGGTAGCACAGAACAACCCCCTTGAGACTTATTATATAATATGTCTTGAGAGGAACTACTGGCTTTGTGAAAGACTCTTACAGATTATCTAGATAAGAATTTTATTAGAGTGAGCAACTCTCCTGCAGCCACTCTCATACTATTTGTGAAGAAGTCTGAGGGTGAGCTAAGATTCTATGTGGACTATCAAGCTCTTAACAAAATCATCTGAAAGAATTGATATTTTCTATCATTAATCAGTGAGACTCTACAGTGAATTGAACAGACTAAATGATTTACTAAACTGAACATTATTGCAGCTTTTCACAAGATTTGAATCACAGAAGATGATGAGTGGATGACAGTCTTTAGAATCAGATATGAGCTATTTGAGTGGCTGATTACACTCTTTAGTTTGGTTAATGCTCTAAGCACATTTCAAAAATATATCAACTGGGCATTACATGGATATTTAAACAATTTCTGCTCAGTCTATTTAGATAACATCTTGATATTTTCCTCAAGAAGCTTATGAGAGCATCACAAGCATGTACAAAAGATGCTTATGTATCTACAGAAAGCAGGTTTGCAGGCAGACATCAGAAAGAGTGAGTTTGAGATGAACAGCACAAAATATCTTGAATTCATCATTGAAGCAGGCAAGGATATACAAATGAATCTGAAGAAGATTAAAGCTATTTTGAAATGAGCAACATCTATTACTCTTAAAGATGTATGAGAATTTTTAGACTTTGCCAATTTCTATAGACAATTTATCAGGAATTTCTCAAAGATCATGACCTCACTGACAATTCTTACATGTAAGAATATTTCTTTTTATAGATGAGCAAGGCTGAGGAAGCTTTTAAGTGTCTAAAATCAATATTTATCTCTACTTCAATTCTGCTTCAATTTGACTCTGACTATGAAACTATATTGAAAATGAACTTCTCAGATTATGTCTCAGAAGAAGTGCTGCTACAATATGATAAGCAGAGCATTCTACACTCATGTGTCTTCTTCTTTCACAAGCATTCACCTGCAGAATGCAACTATGAGATTCATGATAAGAAGTTATTAGTGATAATTGAGTGTTTAAAGAAATAAAATGCTGAGCTACAAAGTGTAAAGAAATTCAAGATTCTCACAGATCATAAGAATCTAGAATACTTCATGACTACACACAGACTAAATGAAAGACAGCTACATTGAATAGATATTCTCTATCAATTCAACTTCAGAATTGATTATCAGTCAAAGAAGTTGAATGCTGAATCAGACACTCTATCATAAAGAGAGCAGAACATGTCACAGAGCACTGATGATGAGAGAATCAAGCAGAGACAAGCTCAACTACTTAAGTTTAATGTACTGGCACCTGGAATGAAATCAATAGTGACTGCTGCCAGTGTGAAACTCAAGATGTCTCTTCAAGCTCAGTGAAATAAGACTTACAAAAATGACAAGATTCTGCAGTGTCTGAAGCAAATTTTTTGTGAGAAAAGATTCAGATTTCCTTCTGAACTCAGCATTAAGATCTTCATCTCTGTGTGCTCTTTAAACAAGAACAGGGAGCTTCTCTTTCAAGATCATAAGTGGATGCCAGACTTCAAATCTCTTTGAACCAGATTAGTGCATGAGGCTTATGACTCACCTCTTACCAGTCATCTCAGGTGAGAGCAAACAGCAGAAGTTCTAAGATATGAGTTCTACTGATCAGACTATGCTGCTGATGTGAGAAGAATGATCAGGAACTACTATCTTTGCAGATCAAACATTACATGAAGAGATTAACATCAGAGACTGCTTAAGCCTCTCTTCATTCCTGAATGCATATAGCAGAAGCTTTTCATGAACTTTATCATGAACTTACTGAGCTCTAAAGAATATATGAACATCATGATTATAACAGACAGACTGATCAAAAGAATTATATTAAAAGCAGTTAAGAAAACTGATGCAGAGACAGTGACTAGAGTGTTTCTTCACAATATCATCTCTCAATATGATATCTCTAAGGTGGTAGTGTCAGATTGAGAGTCAGCTTTCACAAGCATGTTTTGAACTTGAGTGTGTGAGAAATTAGATATTAAGAGATGACTCTTCACAGTCTATCACTCAGAGACTAACAGAGCTACAGAGCAAATGAATCAGACTCTGAAAATCTACCTACACAAGTACATTAGCTTTCAACAGAATGACTGATGTGAATGACTCTCTCTAGCAGAGCTGATCATCAATAATAGAGATGCTGTCTTAATGAATGTGAGCTCATTTTTTTTAATGTATCTTTTCCATGTCTTCTTCATTGATATAGCTGATACACCTCTCATTGAAATATCATGTAATCTCATTGAGTTTGCAGATGATTATATGAGAAAGACCTGTGAAGTGTTGAAATGAGCTCAAGTAAAAATGACAGATGCTCAGTAATCTCAAGAGAAATACACAAATAGATGAAGAGACTCAGCTTTAAGCTTTCAATCTGAAGATAAGATCTGATTGAGCTTAGAGAATATAAGAACTAATCATCTGTACAAGAAGCTGAACATGAAATACAATCAATATACTGTGCTAGAAAAGATAGAATCTCATGCTTATCAACTGAACATCTCATCTGACATTCACAATGTCTTTAATGTAAAGCTTCTACATGCTGTGATGATGAATTCTCTGTCTAGTCAGAGACAAACTGACTGGCAGTCACTCACTATAGAGATCTCAGAAGGACCTGAGTTCAAGATTGAGAAAATTCAGAATGAATGAATCTATCAGAGAAAAAAGCAATACCTCATTAAATGAATAGATTGAACTAAGTCTATATGAAATGATGTGAGTCTCCTACAAGAAGCAAAGACCTTGAACACTTGGAAGACCTCTCAGCAGGCAAAATTAGATGTAAAGAGAACTTTAAATAATCATAAAGACCTGCAACAAAAAGGAAAAAGAGGAGTATTATAAGAGATTGAATCTCTAGATTCACTCTGATTAAACTGACTCAGCCTAGTCATTGTTTGCATGTGTGCATGTGATCATGCTACATGAGCTTGCTTAAGCTTGAGTTCTCATCTCATTCTTTTCTTCTCTTTCCCAAGCAATTCATCCTTGTTATATAGAAGGACTAGTCTCTAGTTCTTAGAGCTTAATTCTCTACATTATGAATTGCTTCACTTCTTTCATTGATAGGCCACTGAAAGTCTTAATTCTGTATCATGAAGCTCAGTGTAAAGGGTTAAGCTCTAAGAACTAGAGGCTAGTCCTCCTATATAACAAGGATGAATTGCTTGAGAAAGAGAAGAAAAGAATGAGATGAGAACTCAAGCTTAAGCAAGCTCATGTAGCATGATCACATGCGCACGTGCAAATGATGGCTAGGCTGAGTCAGCCAGCCAGAGCAAATCTAGGGGTTCAGCCCCTTATAGATTAGTAAAATGTAAAAAAAATCTCAGTCAATCACAGTTCATTGCAGACCAGATAACTCAGTGAGAAGGTCAGTCTGAGCATAGCCTTAAATAATTGAAATAATTAACCAGCAGATGAAGCAAAGAAAACTGCTTCAGATTAGAAGAGAAATAAAGACAATCATCAAATTGAACTGTTTCAGCTGAGGTGTAGCTTGTCTGGATGATGCTGACAGAAGATAAAGGCTTATATAAACCCTGACGCTAAACCTGATCGGGCTGGTGCCAAATTGTTGGTGGATACTACGGCTACCCTATCACGTGGCCCCACCATATTATATTGATCTCGCTTAGCTAGCAACTAATATAGAGGACAACGTTATCCTCCTAGGCGGTCGCGTAAAGTCGCGTCGAGTTGGGGCATTATCTGGAAATCTGATATAACAAGACATTCCAAGAACCAATTGACAACGCCACAGTATTAATCTTGGTTATTCGAAGTTATATATATGTTTGTATATTCCTCTGTACCGCCGCCCTCCTCTTCTCCAATTAACCAAATCGACAAATAATGCACGATGGAAATCCGAGGACGAAGTCCTGAGCGAGGTCGAAACCAAACACCTGCCATAGACGACCTATTCGATTACGATGCTGGCCTTGATGATATCCTCAGAGAAACAGAAACCAGCCAACCCAATGCCTCGACAAATCCAGCGTCAAAAATCAAAAAAGCACGGACAGATTCCAACGGCGCTGGCCTAGGTCTCGATGAGGAGATCAAAGTTGCGCCGAAGAGACGACCTGTTGTGAAACTAGATGAGACACGGTATGCCGTAAAATATGGGTTTCTTAAAAGGCTTTCCATGTTCCCCCCCCAACCCAACAGCTTAGCTTTGCTAAATATCCCTTTAGTTTACTATCGCAGGCTGGAATTCCAAAACTGCGGAAGGACGCAAAGACGAAGCTGAAGTTCAAGGGAAAAGGCCACGAGGTATGATGCTCCCGTAGTCTGTGCGGATTTCGATTCTCCAAATCATGATATATTAATTATATTCATTTAATAGTTCTCCGATGCCATGCGCCTTCTCAATTTCTATCAACTCTGGCTAGATAATCTTTACCCGCGTGCGAAATTTGCAGATGGACTCGCCATAATTGAGAAACTGGGCCATTCGAAACGGATCCAGATAATGCGAAAAGAGTGGATTAATGAAGGGAAACCGAAATCCCACGCTAATGAAAGGGATATAGACGAAGAGATAGGAAACCAAGCGCGTCAGCCGCCAGCTGCGAACGATGTTACCATGACTAACTACGAGGATGCGCGGAACGGAGGAAACAGTGAATTATTTCCGACGAACACAAATACAGATACCACACGGCAAGATGACCAAGATAATTGCAAGGGCGATGATATGCTGGACAATCAAGTATCATCCATATTTGGCGGAGGCACAGGAACAAAAATTCCAGGTCACATGTTTAGCAATTTTGGAAAGGAGGGAAGCTTATTTGTTGGAGGTGATCGAGATAACAAAGTCGATAAACCAACACCAAACGTCGAAAATGGGCCTGAATATGACGAACTAGAGGCTCTCTTAGCTGAGACTGAGGGTGGTGGCATGCCTGCTGCAGTTCCAAAATCAGGTTCGGGTTCAGGTCCGCCACAAGGGGCTTTTGATGATTTAGATTCGATGGATAATTATGACTTTTAGTACTCTGTATATTTTTAGCAATTAAATATTACTGATGGATGAAGATTTGGATAACATTGATAATAAGATTCCATCACTTGGGGCTTTTGAACTTGATGCTAGCATGAAGATAAATGCAGAGAAGAGAAATGAGTTAAAAATCATGGAATTTTTCGCAGAGTTTGTTTTATTCTGCTTGTTGGGTTGGTGATGTTCATCATGCTTCCTTGATTCAATTCCACAGTTCTCACTGGAGGAAGACAAGCATCACATCACAAGTGTACAAAACAACATCTGCCAAATGGCCCAGACTCTCCCATTTAGAATCTCAAACAGTAAAACACAGGATTAAACAAAAACAAAGGAAGCAAATTGGAAAAGAACTAGGAGCCGAAATACCAACCAGGCTAGATAGAGGTCAACTTCCCTTGTGAAAAAATAGAAGAAGACAGGTCAAACAAATAAAGAAGAAAATCTAATAAAGAAGTATGAGCACCACAACGCGACAGGTTGAATAACAATACAGATAAACATCTCAAACTCTCTCATAAAAGACAAGATTGAAACAAAAAAGAAAAAAAGAAGAAGAAAAAAAGAAAAAAGAAAAACATTGAGTACAGAAAAACAGTCAACATCCTTAAGTAACACGTAGAATAATCAAGTCAGGCAAACACCGCAATTTCTCCTATACAAAAATAGCAAAAAAAAAAAAAAAAAAAAAAAATAGGAAATCGAAACACAAATAAATGATGAAAAGAAACCTTGAATCTTCAAACAAAAACAGAGAGGGGGGAAGAACAACACATTACAAGCTTCACTGAAGAAAAACAACCTTTGACAACAGATGTAGAATAAAGAAGTCTGAAGGATAACCAAAATACACCCATGTAAGACAAAAGTGTCGAAAATTGAAACAAAAAGGATGTTGAAAACCTCCATCCTTCAAACAAAGAAACGGAGGGCGGAACAGACATACAAATCTTCCCAGCTCAAAATCAGCCTGTAAAAAACTAACACAATTGTAAATGATAAAAAGGAAAGAGAAAAACAACTCAAGATTCAGCAGGCAGCTGAGCAATCTCAGTAAAAATAGAAAACTGGCCACCGCCATCCGCCCAATTCAACTTCTTCCCACGAATAGCAGTATTCTCAACAATAGAAGCAACTTCAATATCCTCATCAGTCCCCTGGCCAGTCTGATAATTGGCCGAAAACCCCCAAGACCAAGCATGCCCATCCTTACCGATGGCAATAGAATGATCACTCCCAGTAGCAACATGACATGCGTCAACGCCCGGGATAACAGTAGGTGTAACGAGGATGCGAGGCTTATTCCTATCGTCACGAATAATAGACTCTTCAGGCAACGAGTCGATCTTCAACCCAGTCTGAAATCCATCAAGACGGCCAAATGCAAGACACTCGCCTTTAGCGGTTAGGGCAAGAGAATGATGGGACCCGCCGCAGACCTGGACGACATCCTTGCCCAACAAGGACTCGACGACGGCAGGGTGGAGGACGGCCGCGTCACTATCACCGGCGCCCTGGACAATGCCAGTCTCTCCGAAACTGTTGAGGCCCCACGCGTAGACCTTACCGGATTTGTGGATGGCGAACGAGTGGTAGGAGCCGCAGCCTAGACCGACCATGTTTTTGGGAAGGCCGAATTCGCGCGGCTGGAGGCCGTTGAGTTTGTTGCGTTCGATGATGCGGCGGCCCAGCTGATTCTGCTGACCTGAGCCCCAGGAGTAGACGGACCCTTTGTCATTCAAGGCCAGGACGTGGTTGGCACCGCAAATGATGGCTTTGATCTTTGTCAATGTTGTGATGAGGGTCGGAGTCCGCTGGACTTTGGTATTGCTGTCGAAACCCAAGATGCCATCATTGCCCTAGTCGGTGAAAGGTGCGTTAGTTACATGGATTTTCCTTAGAAACGACGTAGTAATTGCACTGGAGAGTGTGAAAATTGACTTACTCTGAACGTACCCCAACCGTAGACTGTGCCAACATCAGTGAGCGCAAAAGATGCACTATCACTAGCACTGACTTGGACAAAAACTGTATCTTTGGGGAAATGCTCAGATGGAACAGCAGTAGGAGTACATTCGCGTGGGTTCAAACCACTACCACTATCCGAATCGGAATCGGAATCATTCGCATCATCTTTAATATCTTTCATCCCGCCATCCCAGGTAGTATCACGCCCCAACGCGCCCTGATCATTGACACCCCAGGTCAAAATCTTGTTATCATGAGTAAGAGCAACACAATGCATGCCACCTGCGGCAATCTGGACAACACCAACAGTATCCGCACGGAGGTGCGGGTTGAGACGGGGACGTTTCACGTCGACTACGTTCTTTGCGGCACCAAGGCCAAGCTCTCCAGAGCTTCCTTCGCCACAAACATAGACGTTCAATCGTTGTGAAGGGGGATGGTTGATGACCACTTTGGCTTTGACGACGGGGCCTTTAACGACACGGGGTTTCTTGGGCTCGCGCGGCACGACATCATCTACGACAGGGGCCTTGCGCTTCTTGTGCGACTCGTTTGAGTCAGTTGGGGGAGAAAAAGATATGCCATTCAACTTGACGCTCTCAGTTTTCTCAAGGGGCTCCACCACCTTCTTGGGACGCCCTGTTTTAGGCTTTGGAGCGGTTGATGCAGTCGCTGAAATCGCTGAAATCGCTACATTCACTGCACCTGGAACAGCTTTGGTAGGTTTCTTCTTAGAGGCAGCTGGTGCAGCTGGAGCAGTTGTTTTGGTTACTTTTGCCTTGCTTGCCTTGGTGGCTGGCTTTGAAATAACGGACATCGCACCGGCAGTGGGCTTTTTGGGAGCCATAACAGCAGCTTCTGAGAAGGCTGGTGGTATGGAAAAGGAGGGCGGCTAAGACGAGTGCAAAATATGGAGGGATCGTAAAGAGGGTTTATCGAGGAAACACAGTAGAAGTAATGGCAAAGAGGGAAATGGCCGGTGAGAAAATAAAGGAAGAGACAGGAATTTACGGATTTGACGGATTCGAGGTTGGAGTTTGGAAGTTGTTTGTGTTGGGTGTCGTGCGTTCCTTGTTTAACATTTCTTAATCTTTTTTTGTTTGGATGGTACGCTAGGCGCAAAGCGGGGATTATGTCATCACGGCGGCTAAATACCTAACTAGTTAACTAACTAGTTAACTAACACTGTATTATGAAATCCACAAGCTAGTTAACTAGTTAGTGAGACAAACGTAAGTAAATACAACAACCACATAAGAAAAATAGATTAATTATATTAAAAATCATTTCTAAATCAACTTTCACACATATGAACAGTATGTTCTAGTATATCACATGCACTTCACTGAGATCCTGTGTATTTTATAATTGAGAGTTAGAAATTTTATTCATTTTCTCTTTCTTCTCTTTCACCTTTTGTATATAAGTAATCTGTTTTTTCTCTAACTTTCAAAACACTCTTTTGATCTATATACATATGATCTTTTTTTCACTTTTTGTTTTGTTTTGTATTGACAGTTTTTCGGTTTTTTATTTTTATTTATTGGAAAAGTAGCACAATGTATAATTATTTGATATTGTTTGATCAATTGATTAAAAGATTAACTAATTAAACTGAATAAATTTGATATATAATATATAATATTATTTTGATTTTTTTTTTTAGTCTACTATTTCAATTATCATATATTATAAAATATAATTATGATTCAAAAGATTTAAAAACTATAAAATTATTTTATTAAAATTAAAATATATATTTAAATATTAAATATATAAAAGTTATATAAAATTAACTTTAAAGTTTTAAATTATTATTATTATTGATATATTCTCTTTTTATAATACTTATATATAAGATTTAATTTATTATATTAAATTCTATATGAATAATATTTTTTAATTTTAAATATATATAATTATAGATTATAATTTTTATTAAATGATTTGATAGAAAAATTGAGATGAAAGATTGATTTGCTAGATAGATTGATCATTAGATGATGAATTATGTTAGTTAAACTTTAGTTACCTAACTACTGACTGACATCAACCAGCAATATGCACAACAACTACAACGCAAGGAGACAATATCACAGTGAATCAATATCTCTTCATGGAGTGGTGGGGAAGCAATGGGAGAGATTATCAGAATTATGCTGACAATGGCCTTGGTGAATAAAATATCTCTACACTATAGTTACAGTTAAGCATTCATCCATGTCGTCTTCACTAATTTATTACTAGTTACATCTTACCCCGGTGATATCAGATTCATCTCCATGTTTTCTCTCCATACATCAGGGTCCAGTATAATAAAATGGAGGCAGCTCGACCATAATAGCAGCCTTATGGAGGAAGAGTTTAGCCCATTGAATGAAGCTGTGGCATGCCCCGCCTCAAAATAACCTAAGTTCTTGCTCGGCACGAAACAGGGATAACCCCGGGGATACTACCAGCACGCATCTGCGGGAAGTAAAATATGGAAACAGCATAAAAAACCACAGAAGTCATCCTTTCTGGCTATTTTTGGATCTGTATCTGCTTATAGGTACCCAATAATTAATCGGCGCAACCTAAAGCATCTAAAGTTGAGATAAAAGACAACCTCCAACAATGACGAGACGCCCCGCAAATCTTCCCAAATTCTCCGAGCTACCATTGAACAAAGGAGACCTTATGTCGTCGGCATGGGTTTTGTATGAGAAGAATGATCAACTGGGGTTCCTGAATCGGCAAACAGATGCCATCGGGGCAGAGGCGGCAAAGATGGAGATCAAGACTGGTGTGAGGAGAGAAAATATCTTTATGAATATGAAAGACAGATACAATATTATTTCGTTCTCTCGACCTCTTGTCATCCTTATTCACCCCTGAATCATCATTGCGTATTTTCTGAAAAATAGCATAAATGCCCTCTATAACAATGCTAGAGAATTAACCATTATCTCCATATTTATACATATAGAATATCCCTAAATTGGCCGTTGGACGCACAGAGCAAAGTCCCTTTCTTCGGCCGTCAAGTGTTCCACAAACAACTCATCGACAAATCACCCCGTACGGTGAACGATGATATCTGGACCTTTAACACGCAGAGTAGCAGCCAATTTGTGTAAGCTCCCCCTTCTGCTTCTTCATCCCTCTCTCCCCCCATACATCCCGCCATTGGATTGAAGTTTTCCAAAAAGGCTACTAATAAGAATCGCTAACAGACCCTTCTTCATGTGAGTGAATAGGAGACGGACTCCGGCACTTTGGCTACCAAAAGGAAAAGAAATTCTATATCGGTGTGACAATGGAATATATCCATGGTTCGAAAGACAACACCGTTAATAGCATCCAGGGTAAGTATGCCAGCAAAGTGGACAGGGAAAATGTTCTAGCTGCAGATAGCTAACACCCCCTTTCCTGCCGTATTCCAGCCTGGGACGAGAAAGGAATTGTAGGCCGTGGCATCTTGCTCGATTTTCGCAGATGGGCATCAACAAACAATATATCGATTGAGATGTTCAAGAAAAACTCCATTCCACTGAAATACCTCAAAGCCGCTGCGAGAGTCGCAGGGGATAGAGATAATGTTTGGAGACATACTTATCATTCGAGTTGGTAGGTTGTAACAAAGAATTGACAAAATAGTTCACTGCATTTGCATTTATTCTGCGTTGCCCATCAGATTTCTAAAGGAAAAATTTGAACATCTAGGATATATGCAGGCGATTAAACAATTACCAGATGACGAGCTGGTTAGGCTCGCGAAAAGGACACCACCAGAGCTGATCGGGGTGGAAGCCAGTTTAGAGATGCTGGAATGATCTGGTAAAACTTTTCTGCTGCAGCAGGGGACCATCCGTCCTTCGAGGCATATCGTAAGGTCCTTTTCTCCCCAAACCTCTGCAGATGTACAATAGAATATGTATACAATAGCTGATTGCACATATTCAACTTGAATCCGACTCCGAACTAACAGTACCGGCAGACTGGAGCATGCGTGAAGTGCTCCTTGCCGGCTGAGGTTGCCCCATCAGAGAGTTGTTCAAGCTTGATAAATTGTCAGAGGAGTGCGGACGGCAGAAAAGATGGTCGTTCTTCATTGCGAGTGAAGTATGCAATGTTCCCGGTGGGTTTGCAGGGTAAGAAGGAAATTCCCGTACCCAACGCTTTTCCAGGAAAATGAACATATCTGACCTATATATATATATATATACGGTTCTCCGAATATTTTGGCGATCTTTTAAAAAAGAAAGAAACACCAATGTTATAACCCTAAGAAAAAAGGGATCATCAATTTCCTTGTGCATTTTGGTGACCATTTTCTTGTGCATTTCCCTGCACATTTTCCTGAGCAACAGCCTCAATCCCAGGAAGGATGGGCGCTGGAGGAGGACCGCGTATCTTTCCGCACAAAACAACGTCTTTACCCAGTGACTGCCACCTAATATCACGGGGATCAAGTGCATTGATCGCTTTCCCTGTTTCGTCCTTCTTGGAATCGGGACTGACTCCAACCCCACCCCGGCCCAGGAATGTAGGAGCAACAGTAACAATAAGAGAGTCCACAAAATCCACATATTCGGGATTTAACAATTCACTAATCACCGTCGCTCCCCCTTCTATCATGACGCTGTTTATGCCCTCAGTACCCAAAGCGCGTAAAATAGCTTCCCACCTAAGCCGCCAGCTCTGATTATATTCCACAATGCGTAGATAATCACCCCCATGAGTCTTGAGCCGTAGGACTTTAGCAGGCTGGATGTTCGCACCCGGCGAAACGATGATCCATGGTGCCTTGCCTTTCCCTTCTTTCGCGGTCCTTAATAGCCGGCACTCAGGGTCGGCCGACCATCTCCCGGTCGGATCTACAATAATTGGTCTAGGTTGCCACATCTTGCCCAACCCGCCAAACCCTCCTGAACCTTCTAATCGACAGTTTAAGCCTGGGTTATCTGCCATGGCAGTCCCCACTCCTATTAAGATGGCATCATGTCGAGAGCGCAGATAGTGTGTCATCAATTTGGATTCAGGACCGGACAAGGCCGTTTGCACGCCGGGGAGAAGTGACACCCTCGCATCCATGGAAGATGCATACGTTAAAGTGACGAATGGGAATTGCCGACCGTTCTCATGCCGTGGTAGATATGGCTGTAGAAAGTCCAGAGAATATGTTGGGAATGGTAGAGCATCAGGAGGCAGCTGGGAACGAGGAAGTTGGAGACGAGCAGGTTGAGACTCGAATTGAGCGGTCCCGATCCCATTTGGGAGGCCTAGCAGCGGACCATGAGTACGCACGACACCATGACCCTGCTGGAAATGGTAACCCTGATGTTCTTTCAATTTCACATCGGGATGTGACACGCGCCATTTGGCAGAGACGTTGCGGACGTCAGTAACGGTAAAAAATTTCCCACCAGCCGCCAGCAGCTTCTCAGGCTCCTCGCGAAACTTCGCAAATATCGACGACGGCAGATAACCCTTCTCAGCTTCCTTCCTACAGAAATCCATGAGCCCTGAATTCCTCTTTACCTTATCGATGTGATCCAGATCATGCGAATGCGTCCGACTACTCCTGCGCGTCTGTGAGATCGTAACTGCAGAATAAGCTCCCTCGAACTTCACCACTTTCATCTGCACGTTGCACTGGTTCCCTTCCCTAACTTGCTTCTTCCTAGGCTTCTTCCCTTCAGGGAGCGGCCTCCGCTGTGTGGGTCTGCATGTAGGCCTCCGTAAACGACACATGTAATAATCAGTAGTTGTGAGGCCGTCCTTGGTGGAGTTTGACCTCTGTTTCACCCAAACATTGTCTATAAACGGCCAGTAGGTGTTGAATTCATCCACGCTCATTTCCACCGAATCCTTCAGCTCAAACAGAACCTGCCTGATCCATCCCAGGTTTGGTGGATTGTTGAAAAGGCTATAATAATCTGGGCCAGCGGACGTGGGAGGATTTGCTGGCGTAGCAGGTTGTTCAGTTGATCCTGCTGCTGGCTCTGGATTTGGATTTGTTGTTGCTTGCTGTGGATTGGACAACAACTCTGCAGTCTGTGACACATGCTGTCCTGGTTCGGCCTCAACCTGTGCCTTTATATCATTCTGAAGTCTTGAGTCATCATCCTCAACATTACAGTCCATATCTACATCTGTGGAATTCTCCAACCCAGCAACTGATAGTCCCGTTGTCTCATGCTGCTCTGGGATATTCGAAACAGGTGACTGAGGGGAGGCAGAAGCTGTGGCCACACCATCTTCATCCATTACTAGCTAATGCCCGAATATGTGTGAGCTCGAGCAAAGGATGTCCGTAGATTGAGATACTCTTTTAAGGTAAAATAGACGGAGAGGCGAGTCTATGGGAATTTAGCCGGAATAATCCTTGGGGCTGGTAACGAGAGTTTCGGCGCAGGGAAGGCTGAAAGGTACAGAAAAGTGCGACTGAGATTGAAAAGAGGTAATAGTGAGTGTGAATCTGGACTATATGCTGGCGGGTGCGAAAACCACGGCTTGGAGAGAGCTGGAGGGGGTGGCTGGCAGTCAATTGAAAGTTGAGGGAAGTTTCTTTAATTTAAGCTCGGAAAGAAAAGATGAGATGGATGCGACTTGGGGCTGGCAAAAGAAGTTGGCCCCAAGTGGGAATTCGCCAAGACCGAACTAAAGACTTGTATGACGGGCATAGATTGGTTTATGTTAATATTTTTCATATGGATATCAATATCTCAATCGTTTTCGAAGTAGTAGCAAAATACCTGTTCTGTTGGAACAATCAGCTATAAGACGATTTCAGGGAATCTAGTGTCTGCGTAGACAAATATGCTCCATCCGCAAGCTCAAGCCATGCCCAAGATGAGAAGATGTAACTACTTAACAAACAATGCTGAAAGGAGTCAAATTGTTCCTCCTCCTCCGTCTTCTCCTTTTTCTTGCAGTTCTGGTAATGAAATATCCTTTTCCAAAGCCCTTCTAGCTAGACATATAGCTCAGCCATTCGCACTCCACGACAAGAGTAAAAATAAAATAAAAGAAAAAATAAAAATAAAAATAAAAATAAAAGACCCCTGCATGGAATTAAAAGGAAAAATGCTTTTTATCTAGCACATAATCAAAAATACGTTATCTTCATTTATAACCCAATCTCTCCACCAGCCTTAGCCAACATCTCATAAACCCGCGGCGGCAACTTATACTTAATCATCCCCGCGAAAACCATCAGATCCTTTGCCATCACCAACAGCTCATCCGCAAGGCTCTGTCGCATGTCATTCTCATACGCACTTTGCTGAAGCTTCTCGCGTTCCCGGCCGATACACATCATACTCCACATGATCAGTTGGCCCGTGTTCCTGGAAATGACGGGAGGAAGGGCTGGGAATGCCTGCGCTGCGCTGCGGATGTATTGAACAGAACCCTGAGCACGCAATGGGAGGATTTGGAGGTCGTTGATGTCCTGTTGGCATCGAATGTTAGAGTGCAAAAACAGGGATATTTTGCTATAACCCGAGATTTGCAATGATGGGAGAATAACTTACGTCAAATGCCTGAGCCCATTTTTCAGCTTCAACATTAGCCTTGGCGTCCATAGTCCGCAGCAGCAATCCACATGCGTCCCTGTTGATTTGTTGGATTCTCTGATAGTAGAGCGCATTGGTATTATAAAGCCCAATCATATTCTTCGCCAGCACAACCGGGTCGTCCACAGCTGTGAGACTAAGACTGCTCCCCTGTTCAATTGGGGTGGGCGTCTGTTGACCCTTCTGCACCTGTTCCTGTCCCTCCTGTGTGGTTCGGGGTTTCAGAGGCTGGAGTTTCATTGTAGATTCACCCAAATCCACAGCAACAGCATCCGAAAGGGCCCGGTTGATTATAGAGATGACATTGTCGTATTCTTCAGCTAGGTGGTATAGCAGGACGGCATCTGTGATTAACCCCTTATCATCTGCAACAGCCGCAGCTTGAACCGTGATCATCTTCAGGAACTCTTCCTGGTCAATCAGCTTGATGAGTTTAAGCCGTTCCTCTATTATGCCCTTGATTCTAGTGCCGTTAGAACGGATGTCCCCTAGAAGGATGGCAAAGTCACGCGTTTCCAGTATGAATTCTCTTAGAGCTTCGTGGCAGACTGAAGCTTGGGATTTGCCAAGTTCGCCTGGGAGATCGGCATTCAGGCATATAAGGATGAAATAGTCGACTGCGGCCTCAACGTAGCCGGTACGGAATTCTCTAGTATACTGAGTGATGAGTGAGGCGAAGTTGATTTGAGGAACTTGCTTCGTGCTGAAGGACACTGTTTCACAAGATTATTGGTTAGCAAGCATAGGGACAATTAAGAAGAAGATACAAAAGGATGAGAACAACAACTACTTACAAAGTTCATCACCAGAGGTATAAAAGTCTGAAACGTGAAGCAGGCCATAGAAATCCAACGCAATGGCAAAGTGCACGGCGCTAATTGGGGCATGGTTCGCAAGACACGCTACGGCCTGCTCGAACATTCCGCCAAGGATTTGAAGGAGGAAGAATGTCCCATAACCACCGGGCCCATCTAGATCCTTTCCAAACACCCGCTGTCCAATTTCAGCAATGTCACTTTGAATGTCTTCCAGTCCAAAGAGTTCACCGGCAACTTCTTCCGCTCGACTATCTTCCCGAGCAAAGACGAACTGCAACCACATCCAATCCTCGACTCCCTGACCTATACCTTCAAAACGACGTTGGGTAAGGTCACAGCGGCCGATGATTTTATAGCATGCCATACGATAAGGGTCAACTGTGTTCTCGGGTGCATTACGGAGTCGCTGCTGATACTCTCCATTAATCTTCTGCTGAAGATCCCGCTGAAGCCTTCGGTTCTGTGCATAAGTTGTCATGTAGGTGACGAATTTGTGATCAAGTGACCGAAACCCTGGATCCTGGCTGACATATTCTGCAGCTTCCTTCACAAAGCCACATCTGAGCAGGTAAAAAATTAGAATCCAGCAGTAATCCTGACCAACCATCTGGAGCTCCGTGCCATCGGGGGCAAGGTCCTTTCTCGCGGCACGAAGACGAATATATGCCCGGATCTTGTTAGTTATGGATGGGATTCCACCAAGTTGGGCCTCACGGGGATTCTTAGCGATGATGGTTTCGACTTCTTTATAGAACGACTGTTCCAGAAACTTCCGCGAGCCTTCGATGATTCTCTTTCTCATCTTTGTCGCCCCAACCGAATGCGTGGAATCATCCAAGTAGTCATTGGCAAACTGTCGCTCTTTGAGAACGTCAGGATCCGAAAGACTACCAGCATTTGGGCTTTCATTTACAATGCTAATTAAAGCGTGATATGCGTCAATCAGCTGTCGTGGGATCTGGGGAGGTGGGGGGCAGTTAATAAAGGGACACGTTAGAAGCAAGCATAAAAATTGTGTACAGAAGGGGTGAGAAATTCACATACATCTCCCCCCGCAACACGTTCAGTTTCAGCAAACTCATATAAAATCGGGAACACCCTTTCTTGAAGCCTTGCCTCATTGAGAGCCTGAACTTTCATCGCAAAATATCGAATCTTTTCTCTCAAGAATCGAGAATCTGCAGATTGAATGCCCCCACTCCCGTCATTCTTCATAATGGAATCAGCAAAAGATTGAGGGCTTCTTGCGCTAACTAAAGGAGACCCTATGACAGATTTCCCCAGAGCCGACCGACCAAACACGCTCCGTCTGGCACCAGATTTTCCGCCCCGTGACATATCCAGCCCCGACGGTGTCGAGCGGCCAAGGGCCCCTGTCCGACCAAACGCAGCCCGGGACGAAGAATCAGCCTTCCCACATGCAGAGCCATCCCAAGGCGTTAAGCCAAAGTGTTCATAGATCTTTTGACGTTGCTCATCCCAATTAAGATTTACTTTATCCTCGAGAAAAATATCGAAATCCTTACGGACACGAGAAAGACTCTCAGCAATCATCGCATCTCTTCCACGCTGTTGAGCCTGTCGTAGAAATTTTTGATTGTCCGGGTCGAAGGCATCAGTTTGCTTGAATGGGCTGCTCGCTGTAGTTTGCGTGTCGAGCATTTTTAAATCCTGTAGAATTTGACCCGGAGATATTCCAGATGCAGCTAAGGAGTAGTGTCTAAAAAAACAAATTGACATGTTAGCAGAATTTTTCACTACAGTTTTATATAACTGCGCAAAAAATGAAACGTGTGCTTTACGCTTTGCTACTAGAATGTTCCAACTGTGGCCCGGCCCTGTCCCGCTCACCAGCACCTCCCATGCCTCTCGCTGCTCTCCGAATATCATCCAAACCCAGCTGGAGATTGGGCAGATCGGAAGAATTAACACCCCCCATGAACAGATTGGGGCGCTTCTTCCCGCGCTCTAACAGGCTACTAAAGTAGGCAGGTTGAGTTGGCTGCGCAGCGGAAACGGAGGGTAGTGTTGATTGTGTTTGAGTCTGACCCAGGGTCTGGGTCTGGTTCAGGGCCTGCGCGCCTTGCTGGGTCCCAAAAAGAGATGATCCTGTATTTCCCTGTATATTGCTTTGGCCAAAGGAGGGGGGATTTGCCATAGTCGACTGGCCGAATGGTGAATTCGTGGTTGTTGACTGGCCGAACAAAGTATTTGTCGCCTGCCCAGCATTCGGAAGGTTTGAGAATAGACTAGGAGGTTGCTGCTGCTGCTGCTGCTGTGCCGAAGCACCTCCAAAGAGATTTGAGCTTTGGAACATAGCGAACACTTCTGTAATACAAAGATTACAGGGTGAGACTGGGAATGATGTATGTTAACAGGGGTGCGATATGCAAAGACTGAGGCATCATATAGAAACAAAAAGTTGATAATGAAGCTTCCCAACTGCTCTTGGATGTTTACCCCGGATCAACTGTTTCGCCGAGAAAGCGGGTTCCTGGGGCTCAAACTCTTTTTTGGCCGACTCCAGCGCAGTAATAGATGAATATCCAAACAACTTTCGACTTCATTTCAATAACAGAAGGACAGAAATTATACCAATTGCAATATATAGCTAGTATTAGTTTCATAAATTGGAAGCGAAATATTAAATTTAGAAATACCGACAACCACCCCCTCCCCCCAAACAAAAGCACTTATCCAAGGCCATTTTCAACATGGTGTTCCAAGCCAAACGTTTCCGCCCCTCCAACTCCTTCGGCTCAACCCTCGGTGAACGCCTGGGTGCCAAATACCGTGCAAACCTCTCCAAACACCCCTTTCTCCTCTTCGGCCTCCCATTCGTTAGCGTCATTATTGCAGGTTCTTTCGTCCTCACCCCAGCAACTGCAGTAAGGTACGAACGGTTTGATCGGAAGGTGCAGCAAGTGAGCCAGGAGGAGGAGATGGGGCTTGGTCTCAAGGGGCCGGAAGGCGATGACGGGGCGCAGATTAAAAGGAATCCACGGCGGAGGATATTAGGGAATGAGAAGGAGGAATATTATGTTTGTGTTTTCACAGTTCATTTTTCATCTATCTCAATTCTGTTGTCCTTCTTTACATTGACTTGATATTATGTGTAGAATAATTTCTAACGACTGCACAGAAACTCATGGCCAAGGATCTGGATAACTGGGAACAGAAACGAGTTAAGCGATTCAAGGGAGAACCGGATGGCAGATTATAATTCGGCAAATTCTCGATACATATCGCATCTATTCGATGCGAAAAGTCCACCTCTCACTCTCCGTCTTTGGCAGAATATTAAGCCTCCACGTTCACTCTTTCCTGCAAAGTCGTATATACTCCACTATCACTATTTTGTGTATTTTTCTTTATCATAATTCCCGGGCCCCGGTGCATCTCTTTCCCTTGGGGTTTGGCCAGTCAGTCTCCATGTGATACAAATCCTCAACTCCCCCCCCCTTCCATCCTACCCACTCCGAGCCATCGGACCATCAATCGAAACCAAAGCCAAGATGTAGCTGTTCGGTCCATTAACTGGCGTTCGACAAGGCCGGCTGGTTGGATGGAAAGAGGAGGTTGAGTGGAGGGCATGCTAGGAAAACATATTCCTCAGTGTGAGAAAGTTGATGTCGATGATGTATTGATGGTTTTGTTTTAAGACTGGGGGAGAATGATATGCGGAACAGGGACAGGGTTTGGTGCATATATACTTGGCAGGTCGAGTAAAGAAAGGTTAGGTATTTACGCACCACATCATTGTGGACGGTGGACATGCGAACAATCCGTCCCATATCAAGGGAGGATGATAAAGATTAAAATATTGATGCTGGGAATTGGTTGGTCAGATGAGCAAGGCAATGGTCGGAGAGAGGAAGAGGGGGGGGGGAAGGGTTTAATTACGCGCATCGTAGGGTTGCAGTTTGATCATGTCTTAAGTCATGCTGTCATAACATGTTATGCTTTGATACCCACTGTCAGAGGGATATTGACATGCAACGGAATGAATGGACTGAGGTTTCTTAGACTTTGGATGTTTCATCCCCAGACTCGTACATATATCCATCCCTGCCAGAGATAATGCATGATATCCATGTCGATCTGTAGCATCATGGCATCGTTTATGGGACAAGTTAGAAAATTGAGCCGAGCAGTTGGATAACCCACAATGTTATTCGAATGGGCATAATTCTTTGGATACCCAGTTTTTTTTTTTTTTTTGGGGGGGGTGGGGGTCATTCTTGGATTATTTGCTCAGTGGTGTCTAGAAGAGCTTGCAACAATCGGTTGGACATGAGAGAGGCTATCTCACCCCTCCTCTATTATTACCCCCCAATTTGGCTTCCTGAGCCAAAGCCGGAACTTGCATAGCACAGCAATGGATACCACCCACCTGCAACAGCCCCTGAAGCAACCAATAACGCTCTCGTAAATATGGTTCCGGATGTAAAACCCATCACGCACGATTAACTTTCCAGGACATCCATAGATAAATCCACCGTCCCAACGCCATGCAATGACCATCATCCAGTGAAAGGAAGCAGAAAAAATAAAAAATATAAATATAAATAAAATAGAAACTAATATTGTTATCTCTCCGCCATAATCCAAAAATTTCGAAAAAAGAAAAAAAGCCCTCCCAAATCCGAAGTCCAGACCTGTCGACGACTCTTCCACCATACAGAAAACTCCAGACTTGCGGCAAACTCAACCAAAAAGGGAAAAAAAAGACGCACAATGACGCAACATGCCAAGGATCCAAGGAGCCAGTTGATGCAAGTGGCTTCATGCAAGTTCAACTGTGAATATATGATTGGAATGGAAGAACAACCCAGCATCAGTGCTAGACTGTAAACGGCATGGCAAAAAGAAGTTTGATGACTGTGCGTTGTGTATGTATGTATGTATGTGTGTGTGTGGGTGTGTGTGCGCACGCACATGGATATGGAGGGTGGAGAGTGTGGGTGAGGGGAGTTGAAACTTCGTCGAGAATAATCACTAATATTGAGAGGAGCACCTGCAGGCTGCAGCAGACAATTGATTATTCAGGCACCTCAGCGGCAACGTATTTGCTGATATGCCAGCATGTGGGATGGAGGAATAAAGAGCCTGGTGCTCAGGACTGAGTGGCACTGTCGTTAATGTGACATGTCGATACTCCAATAGTAATGCGGATTAGTTATGGGGTGTATGGTACATGAGGGAGATGAGAGGAGAAGAAGTATGAGATTCAACTTCCCGAGCATCCCGCGAATCAACCTCCCCCCCCTATATATGCTTCTGCACACCGACATTTTGCATCTACCAGACTCGCAGCAGGAGATAGAAGAATCCAAAGACTCAAGAGTTGACCTCCTTCATATCAATTCTCCTTCTAACAAAATTGGTGCCAGACCTTTCCAGCAACAAGGTTCTATTCTTACCAATGAAACCCACCCCCCATACATTCCAAGAAACTTCCTTACTGCATCAAAAGATAAAACACCCTATGTGAATCGACCAGCTCTGATGCCGGGACCTAGTGTGGCAGGTTAGTACCAAGTTCTGGAGTGGATGGATGGGTCGGTAATAATATTTTAACAGCCATTCAGACCTTGTGAAATATAATTATTAAAAAGAGAATCGAATGAGTGGATTCTGAAGGAATTTTCCAGATTTCAGTTTGTTCATTATTCCCTTATTATCTTTCAAGGCCGTTCAAGATAAACAAAAACAAGGGGGTTGAACGTGGCTTTAGAAAAGTTGAACGTGGTTTATTAAGGTGGGGCCCACTTCTTTAAAACCAAATGATCAACTCTAACTAGCCACCCCACACATATTACTAATACACATCCCTCCTTCAACCTTAACATTAGAGTTAATTAAAGGGATAGGAACCTGAGAAATATGAGCAAATCATTCCAATTGTTTCCCCCTTAAATTATTTTATGAAGCAACAGGTGGACCATGACCAGAGGCCCGCGGAGGCGGGGGTTACGCTGGTAGGGAAACGCTTGGTTCTAGGCTCGATCGCGAAATTCTGGGATAGAGACGGCTTATGTAGAGTAAGACAGAGAGCCTTTTTAACTAATCAGCTCTCTGAAACTTGAGGGAAAGGGAAGGGAGAAAAAGCAAAATAAATAAATAAATAAATAAATAAACCAGAGTTAGGATACGAAGCAGGCGCTTCTGGAGACGATGCGATAGGGGAATTAAATAAATGAATGGATGAATGATGATGATGATGATGATGAAATGTCTTATCTTGCCAGAAAATTGCGGTGATGGTGCACAGCAGGAGACGGTCCTGGCAATAATCACCAGTCGATCCCTGAGTCCAGACCCTTTGTCCTGTCTGAGAGTCTGGCTTTTTCTTCTTTCTTCTTCTTTCTTTTTTTCCCTTCCTTTTCCATCTTCTCAACTTCCTCCTCCTCCTCCCTCTTCTTTATTTTCTCATTTCTCATTTTATTTGCTTTAAAAGATCACTTCCAGTCTGCAGTCTCAATGCTCTTGTTGCCCTTCAAAGGCAATTGAACAGCAGTGAACAGATGTCTACCTACTAGGTGGAACAATTATCTGCCGTTCTGTCGGAGTTTCTTCTGCGCTTGTCAGGATGCCCACCTGATCCATCTTATATTATTCCTCCGCTCTTCTCTGCTATTTCTTTCCTCTTGCTATTTTTACTCAGTCTACCACTACTATATTACTATTATTTTTACCTTCTCTGGCACTATTTATTCATTTACTTTTTATTATTATTATTATTATTATTATTATTATTATTATTATTATCTATTAATTTAAATTCTCTCTGGCCCGACTGCATCGTAGTTGTCCCTTTAGCGCGAGAGTCACGTGATCCCGTTTAACAAAACATATCGGGGATCAGGCCACTTCCAAGACAAACCGGGTAAGTTAATTAAGAAACTATCCTATTTAGTTACAGTTTTGCCCCCTTATGAGATCATCTTCCCGGGCGCAAGATAGCTGTAGCAACAGCAAACAAAAAGCCCCTTCAATTGCCGTCAGCTGATTGCAGTCAGCAATATGAGCCCAATTATCCTATTGAATAATGCACACCAGAATGAACTAACTTATTCCAATTGAAATAAATTGGTGCCAGAGTGGTGGCCATTTGTTGCCCAGCTGTCTGTTATATATTTTGCACATTTGCCCCCTGTTTCTCCTTGCTTAAATGGGCGCCCCGCTCTCCCATCAACGTCACAGCCCCATCTTCTTTCTCTCCACTTTCTCCCTTCCTCATCCTTCAAATAATAATCCTCATTCTCAAACCAATTTCACAGCCAATTCGAGCCAATTCTTCCCTCTCCCTTAATAATCCTGCCCCTCCCCATTTTTATTCTATTTTTTATTTTTATTTTTATTTTTATTTTTTTTTTAATTTTTGGCTTGATCGAACCCCAGATTTCGTCCGTGTTCTACCGCAAACGTTGCTAACTATATCCCTCTCCATAAGTAACCATTACGTCATTTTCTGCACTGGTGCATCGCTCACCGCCCACCCACCACCCACCGCCCACCGCCCACCGCCCGCCCCCTTACCATTATTCCCACTCTAACCACCCAACCGTCCACTCCTTTTCTCCCCCACATTCGCCGCTGACCACAGTCCAACAAACAAAAAGCTGACCCCATCCCCATCCCCCTGTCTGTGGAAATTGCGATGATGATCTAGAACTCGCCTTCAAGCAGACCAAGCTTGTCGCGTGAGGTCTTCTGGCCTGTTGTGTGGCGTGTTTGATGCGGAGTGCCTATGCGTCGTTAACACACCTTTGCTCCTACCTAGGTTGCTTATAACTCTCAAACCCAACCACTCCGCCCCACTCCGCTGTCGATTTGGAGGTATATAGTTTTATCTACCAGCAGTTACTTCGCCACTTACGCTGCTCCCTTTCGTTGATACTTCTCGATCTCTTGCCACCGCCTTATCATCGTTATTACAAACAACAACTGGATTGTGTTGAGCTCTGTTGGCGGCTCGTGCTTGCTACTGTTGCTACTACTTCTACTGTTGCTACTTACTACTACCGCTGCTGAGAGCCAACAAACCATGTTCTCTTTAATATCGACCTTCGTTGGAGCATGGCGTTCGCTTATCATCTCGTCCCTCATCGTTATTTGACACCTGTTACTTCTATTAGAGTCTAATATTCTCGATATATCTCATATACCGATATATAGACCTTCCCCTCGCTTCGCGCCTTTGTGTCTCGGGAGTTACTGTCGTTAAACTGTTTCTCTCAACACAAGAAATCCTACAATTAAACAATGTCAGCGACCACCGCTACCTTACCCTCTCCTCAGGCCTGGAGTCCCGGTGTTGGTCCCAACGTTTCCACCACACCGATGGGACTGCCACAAAGAACCCCTTCATCTGTTGGCCAAATGACCGCCCCGATATTGGGAAAAGCGGGCACTGCTACTCTCTCACCACGACTCCTGCGCGACTCGTGTAACAGCTATTTCGGCATCGTCGATTTCTCCACTGCTAATCCAGCGAATTCATCCTCCATGCATACACGCAAGGCTTGGAATTTACCTGCAGGCTCACCCTCCGTGAAACTTAACTGCAACACAAACAACACCAATAACAATAATAGCAATCACTGCAATCGCCACTCCTCTGAACACACCTTTGAATTCGAAGCGTTGAGGAAGCAGGCTGAATCAGCTGGGTTTATCGCTGGCCATAGAATATCATCTAGCTTCGAGAAGCAGACACAGGCTCAACGGGACCGGGGAAGAAATGCTGAAGAGAAACGTGAGAGACAATCGCCTATTTCTCCACACACTTCCGATGCCTCGTGGACCCGGCCTCGGTATGATGATATGGTGACGAGCTATATGAGCATTGATCCGCGTCCTAATACTCATACAGCAGAGGTTAAGTCGGCGACTGCTTTTGTCAAGCCGATCTATGACAATATACCAACAGTACCAAACTCAGCCGCAAACATCACATGTCCAGTTACCTCTGTTAGTTCAGAAGGTGGTGCGCAGCCCATGCGCCTCACAATTCCCCAATCCGCGCAGAATTCTTTCGCTGGGCATAGATCGCGCCCTCTCCAACGTTCAGAAACTTCTCCTGCCAGCGTTGACCAAGGAAATGTTATCTTCATCTCCCCGAGTATGTGTGCGGAGCTCTTAAAGTCGTCTCCAGGCAATACTCTTTTCCTAGATGTGCGACCGTATCCCCAATTTACTGAAGCAAGAATAAAAGGGGCCTTGAATCTATGCATACCCACAACGCTATTGAAACGCCCCTCTTTCAACCTGCAAAAGCTCCAGGACACCTTCGCAGGCGAAGAGAAGGAAGGTTTCGCACGCTGGCAGATAAGCACGCGCATCGTCGTCTACGATGAATCAACGACACACATGAAGGATGCATCAACGTTAATCAATGTGCTGAAAAAATTCACGAGCGAAGGTTGGAAGGGCGAACCATCTATCCTACGCGGTGGCTTTGCGAAATTCTCCGCTGAGTTCCCGGAAGCCGTGGAATCTGCGTCGCAAATGAGTGGTGGCCGCCAACAACCACCCTCTACCGCCCTTCCACTCCAACGCTCCATCAGCCTTGCCCTCCCCCGCAACTTATACATGTCCATAGCAGGAGGCTGCTCAATTCCCAAAGCCACTTCAACCACCCACCCTTTTTTCTCCAACATTCGTCAGAATACGGACCTGATCGATGGCGTTGGCCAGATCCCGATCAAAGTGCCCCCACAGCTCCAGCCACAACTACAACCAAAATCTGGCAACAGAAAAGCAGACCACCTACAACTCCTCCCGCAATGGCTCAACCGTGCCTCCGACATTGAAGATAACGGTAAACTGGTCTCACAGAGGTTCCTACAGATTGAGCAAGCGGAGCAGAAACGGATGCAAGAGGCGCTGACGGGGTCTGTGGAGTATGGTGAGGCTAATACGAGTAATTCGGGAAAGAAACCCTTCCGTATTGCGGGAATAGAACAGGGATCTAAGAACCGGTATAATAATATATATCCCTATGACCATTCGCGGGTGCGGTTGCAGGGCGTCCCTAATGGGATGTGCGATTATTTCAATGCGAGCTTTGTACAGTCTTCGCGATCGCAGAAGAGATATATTGCAACGCAGGCGCCGATTCCGGGAACTTTTAATGTATGTGATTTTGTAAACCCACACACCTTCTTACATAACCATATGCTCTTACAATAATGAATTTGGGATTTTTAACGATCGCTGATGAAATGAACAGGACTTCTGGCGCGTCGTCTGGGAACAAGACATCCGTGTCATCGTCATGTTAACCGCGGAATCCGAGGGGCCGCAGGTGAAATGCCACCCGTACTGGAAAGCAGGAGACTACGGACCTTTACAGGTTAAAGCATGTACGGAAAAACGTATACCACTCACCATCTCACCGCAATCCAAACAACAACATCAACGTTCTCCAAGCGCCCAACGCCGCGCGACACACCCACATACCCTATCCGAAAACCTAGATACTCGAGATGGAAACGATATACGACAAGTCACTACCAACACCAACACGACCAATTCCGACAGCGTTTCGCCCTTCGTAACAATCCGGCACCTGACGCTTGCCCACACCTCCTTCCCCTTCCAGCCCATTCGCGAAATAACCCAGTTACAATACGCGCATTGGCCTGATTTCGGCACCCCCGCTGAACCGGCTCATCTCGTCAGGTTAATTGAGGAGGTGAATCGGGTTGCTGAGACGGCAAATGGTGATGTCGGGAATGGGATGATGAAGCCGGAGCCTGAAAAGCAGCGGCGGATATTGGTCCATTGCAGTGCTGGGTGTGGGCGAACGGGCACGTTCTGTACCGTTGATAGCGTGGTGGATATGTTGAAGAGGCAGAGAATGGCTGCATTGGCGTCAAAGACATCGTCAACGTCAGCGTCAGTGATGACTTCGCCTACGGCTATGGAGACGGCGTCGGCGATGTCGACTAATATGGTTGAAGGTGAGATTGAGGATGAAGAGAAGAAAGGGGGGGGTAACGATGACTGGCTCTGCCGCGATGACATAGACCTCATCGCCGCCACTGTGGAAGATTTTCGCCTCCAGAGACTGAGCATGGTGCAGAGTCTCAAGCAGTTCGTGCTTTGCTATGAGAGTGTTTTGGCGTGGATTGCGCTGCATGAGGTGGAGCTTGTGAATGGATGTGTCGATGATGAACATCAGTTATGTCCTGGTATAGATCGGACGATGACTGCTCCGTTGTCGGCGCCTTTGACGGCTCCATTGGTGACACCTCTCGCTCGGAAGGGCCTGGGTGGGGAGGAGGAGGGATCTGCAAGGAGCAGTTACGATGAGTGAAATGGGGTTAGATTTTTATTACTATATTATTATATTTCTTTTTCGGGTTAGTTTTGGGCAAGAGAAGACAAGACTTCAATAATACAGATACAGATACAAATACAGGTACAGGTACAGATGCAGAGATTTCAGATGGGACTTTTATCAGTGAAAAGAAAAAAACTGAGGTGCAAGGGGTTAGAAGAGAAGAATAGGCTCTGGTTGGAGCGAAGATCAGAGTAAACAGAGATAGCGCTGGCAATATGTATGGGCACTTTTATGTTATCTCTATGGTGTTCTTTTTGTTATGATTGTTGTTGGTCGGGTTACGAGATAACGATTGTTCTAGTTTCTGCGTTCAGACTTCTTTTTTATCTCCTTCTCTGCAGAGGTTTTTTCTAACCAGGTGTCTTTATTTTCTTGTCTAATCAAAGCCCCATCCCTCGTTTTATTTTTCACCATAGATTCCACAACCAGAGAGATTATTTACATTGTGAATAATAAGGGCGCTTTTCCCCCTCCAGATGGCATAACTCATTTCGCACCAGTTGATCAAATAGATAAACCCATACGCCCACAGATCGCCCACATCCATTGTATAAATGCATGTAAACGCTTATTATTTCTGCCAAACAACTTACCTATCCCATCATTTACTCTCAGCCAATAGTTAGTTAAACAAACCCATTCATGTTAGGTAATCCGACTATCCAAGACTAACTATTAGTTACAGGCGACAAACGGACCACAACGAAAGAATAAAAATGGCTTGGGCTGTTCCTGGCAAACTCTTTCGGGCAGTTCTGCCCAATATTGTGCTTGGGACGGGATGACAACAACACTTTCAACCTCCGGATATAAATATCCTCTGCAACTCCCCACCGTGGACTAGACGGGTTTGTTGTCTGTCTGTTATTTTATACCACTGCTCAAGTGCTTCGGGTACTTGAGTCGTTAACTACCCCTATATCCCATTTCGTATTCTCATCCACTCCGTTTGCCATCGCAAGTTGCCTCTTCAAAATTATACAATATCCCCGTTTGCTTCCACTCCAGAATGCCCCTCTTGAACCTCCCCACAGAACTCCTCCAGCCAATCTTCGACTTCTGCTCTGTCACAAGCTGTCTCCAAGCGGCCTACTCATGCCGCACCCTCTTCATCTTTCTCTCAAACTATCGCAAAGGCGTCTTGCACCAATTATCCCGACTCCCTTCGTACCCCAACACCACTACAAATGGTACAAATGACTGCGCCGATCTCTCTTCAAAAACTACAGCAGAGCTCTTCCTCCTGCTGCGCCGACGTGCAGCGCAGCAGCTCTGCGGTGCCAATTTCCACGCCAATCAGAGCGTGTATACATTTGGCGAGGGACAACCTGTCATTGACACGCTGGCATCGGCTATACGGCCGCAGTTGGGAGATCCAAATGTCGCGCTAGTGAAAAAGGGGTTCCCGCACGTTTATCTCTATTTCATTTCTGGCGGCCAAGTTCTTCCCAGGGACGTGTTGCAGCCTGTTATGGCGTGGCCTGGGAGGGTTGAAGTCATCAAAGTTGTTTTCGGGGATGATGGGGACACGATCTCTGTGTTGCAGAGGTATATACCGCTGGAGGAAGGGGAGTTGGAAGATGGAAATGGGAATTGGAACGAAAGGAGACCCGATCATCCCTTTGTCCAGGAGGCGTTGAAACCATATCGGAAAGAAAGTACGCAGCTGGTGCATTATCGGCGTCTTCCACCGCGGCTGGGATACTCCCGTGTGACGATATCTGCCTTTCCGGCTCTGGATCAGTACCGTCCGCTGGCAATGGCTGTGGCAGATAGGGACCTGGTAGCCATCTCCTGGCAGCATAGACGGAACCCAGGCAAACGCAAGATCATCGTACATACGGAATTTTCGGATGCTGTTGCGGCTAATCTGAAATTATCTTGTACGTTGGAAGAATCTTATGTCCTCTCCCCATTTTACAATCACGATGCTAATTTCTATTTCCAGACCAAGTCTACAACAACTGCGTAATAATCGAAAAAGACGGCACCATACCATACAATAACAACTTAGCTCGCCAACGAAACGCAGGCCACATGGAACCCGTAATCCATATGTCCCTAAACGACAACTCCACCCAGCTGCTTTACTACCACCCCTCATCAACAATATACAGCTCCTACCAGCACATGAACGTCGAATACGGCTCAATGAACTTCACAAGCGGCCTCCTCCGCAACTCCTGCTGGGTCCACTACTATCATTTGGACCGGCTCCATAACTACGACGACTGGCTGGACCTAATGTTCACAGTCTCCATTCCCTTTTTCAGTACACATCAGACCTACACTGAGCCTTCCAACCGCGAGTTTTGCCACTGGAAATACCTTTCCCTCGGCACCGCGACGGACGAAAATGGGAAACTGGTCGCCTGCCTCCTTAAGGCGGAAGCGCACTGTCGCTCGCACAACTGCCAACATGAAGAGAACCTCGACCGCGGCCGCCGGTTCGATACGTGGGCTGTCGTCGCGCGGTTGGCGGGGTATAGCATGAGCGTGAACTCGCTGCCTGGTATTGTTGCGACGTCGCGGTCCGCGATGCGGTTGGCGATTGCAAATTGGAAAACGATTAAGGTGTGGGCGATTAATCCGGAGGCTATTATTGAGAATAATTTGGATGGGGTTTATCCTGCGAACATGATTGATGAGGTGACGACTGCGGTGCTGTTGGAGCCGATTGTGTTGGAGAGTGATGCTGTGTGTTTTATGATGAGGTTTACGGAGGAAGGGGATGAGATTGTTGCGTTGACAGATAGGGGTGTTATGAGGTGGGAGATTGGGGCGGGGAGTTATCGGAGGAGGGACAAGGGGGTGTTGGAGATTCCGAATGCGGTTGAGGAAGAGGAGGAGGAGGAGAGCTTGAGCGTTGTCCCAAGGATGAATGCTGATAGCGACGAGGAGCAGAATTTCCATAATAATGATGAAGATGATGACGATGATGACGATGATGATTATTATGAGGAGGAGGAGGAAGAGGAGATAGACAGTGATGATATAACGTCTTCCTTTTAGTTATTCTCAGCCCAGTAATTTGGCTTCAAGCTCTGTGGAATTAATCCCCAAGCCGGGGAATGGCGTGATATGGGGTTTAGCACGCAGAAGGCCGTCTTATTATTAAATCTAGCATGGTACTTTCATAGCGGTTTGCTGGTGCATTTGAGGAAATGAGATGTCAAGTTCCTGTTTTTCTGCTGTTTCTGATATCGACATAGAGATCAATATTGAAATGGAAGCGGGATGGCTTTCGGGTTCAATTTGCCAACAAAGAGAAAACAAATGAACAAGGCATTTCTGCTTTGATACGGATGGCATATTACCATGGACGGTACACGTATCATCATCCATAATATCCATAATCCACCCGTGCCAAACCCTCATTCGTGTCTCGTCTTTGATAGACAGTGGGTATTGCGGATCTAATTCCCTTCCGCACTCCCAGTGAAGGCCAGCAGGCCAATAATCGCAAGAACCCACCAGTACCTGGCCAGAGGCTACGTTAGCAGTCATGTATTTTTAAGATACACACGGATATCTAGAAGGATGTTTTTTTTTTTTAATTTTATTTTATTTTATTTTATTTTATTATTTTATTATTTATTTTTTTTTTTAATTTTTAATTTATTTTTTATTTATTTTTAGAATATAAAATTGAATGAAATGGGCCTCACTTTTGCAAAAAGGTTTTCTCGACAACTTCCTCTGGTGTATGCCCGTCCGCATTTAGCACCACGGGACGATTGAGATGCGGCTTCGGACTGGGAGTTAAGCGGACAAATTCCACCTTCAGTAATCCCGATTCCGCTTCTTTTGCCTTGGCAGTAGTCTTTTCTTTGCTCTTCTCTGCACCAGTGGATGAGGCGTGTGCTACGGGAGGCGTAGCGGACGAGGACATGGAGGCATGGTAGACGTGGTTATTGTGATCGAGGTGGAGGGTTAGGGTTTGCTGTGTGTTTGCGAAGATGGAGGGAGAGGAGAGGGTCCCAACCCATTGCTTATCCTTCTTTGTTGGGCTGTCGTCGTCGTTGATTGAGGTGATGTAGAGTCCGATGCGCAGGAGGTCGGCTTGCCTGTCGAAGTTGTCGTTGGTGTTGACGGGCTGAGGAGGGGTGTAGGAGTCGATGGTGGATTGGAGGGTGGTTGGGTCGTAGGAGATTTTTGCGAGGCGGGAGGGTTTCGAGGGGGATAAGGAGGAGGAGGAGAGGGGCCAGTAGAAGATATCGGCGGAGAGGGAGGAGGACGCGGAGGGGGAGGCAGAGGCGAGGGCAGAGAGGGAGAGGGCGAGGAGAGCGAGGCTTGGGATGTGCATGGCGGGCGCGCAGTGGAGGGCTCCCTTGGATGAATTGTGTGTATGTTGCCTCTGCTGCCTATATCATTATTGTGGTTGGAGGAGCAATGGAAGGGTTAGATGCTGGCTGGCAACTAAGTTAACTATTGCTGGGTATAAACCTAGTTAAGCTGATGGGTTTTGACTAGTTAGTTACGTCGATCTGCGATGGGTTGAAAAGCAGGTCCGGGACGGAGAAGGTTCTAAGGAGGTTAAGAAGGTTAGTTAAGCGAGCTTGCGGAAGGCTTGCCGAGTCGAAGTCAAACAACAGGGGGTTACAACAGCTACGACGCTACGACAACAATGATAGCTCAGCTACTGACTATGGGGACTAGATATGCTTTCATCTGTTTATTTAATTTGCCGCTGTAGGCAATCTCTATATACGTGAAGTATCACCCATCTAGCCGCCTCAGAACAGCCCATCATTTCTTGCTCAACTCGGCAAATGCCAGAGATTGAGGTTGAGATTGAGTTCAGGGGCTCTCCCCGTCGGTTGTAATTCAAGTCAACGGCTCAATTCTTCATGGTTCAAAATTCATTTTTCGTCTATCTTCGATGGGTCGATCGATTCTCTGAGGAAAATAGAGCTACTGATTCCTATGTGCATTTCTATGGGTATGCTTCATATAGATGATGAGATCTTGCTCAGCTGGAGGTATACATCTTGCCCGGAGCCAAATCTGCCTGGGCAATGATGTTATTTTGTGAACCTAGGAGTTGCTCCAATGTTGCAGTGGTTGCTTTCCTCTGATCAGGGACAGCTGCCGGCAACAGACACATTACTCCTGCTCCGTATATGTGTACGCTAGACTGAAATACGGGTCGGTTGGGGTTGTGTTGTTGTCTATAAGCTCCTGGAAGATTGGTTGGTTGTATTCCTTAACATGAAGATGATTTCGAAATAACTTTCCAAACTCGAATATTCCCGGTTTGATGATGGCTTAGTATTATTATTTCGAGGGATCCCGCCTTTGAAAAGAACATAGAGACGGCTTTTGTCCCTCCCCCAAACATCCCCCGTGTGCAGCAGCGGCCATAGCGTCAGGGAGTCAGTCTATCTTAAACAGAGTGCGAATCTTGGTCCTTTGCCCTGTAGTTCGCGGGTCTGGGGCAGTTTTCGTCCTGCTTATCCCCTCAATCCTCGCACATACTCTGATCTCCAATCCATAACGGTAACTAGTCGAGTGTAGTTAACTATCTCAAGCAGCTTACGCCACAGAGACAGCTCCATTGTGGTCATCTCCAAAGCCCTCCCCAGTTTCATTCCCGCAGAGACACGTTCACACAACGATAGACAGAGGAAAGAAACTCTTGTAACTCTCTCTTGACGTTTTAGCTGTAGTCAGTTACCAACCGAAGCCCGATTTGCGCCCCGCCAGCACAATGCAGCAGCGGCCCATCGACGATCGGAAGTTTAGGAGGATGTGCTTATCCCCGCTATACAGAACTCCTGGTCACGAACCCACAATTCAGCCCACCAAAACGCTGGTGACTCAATGGGCTATATGACAATCTGCGAATACCTAGAAGGCCTTTTGTCCAGTATTCCAGCCTGACTTCCAGGCTCCAGAGCGCGTCCAAGGGGGTGGAGAAGGAAACTTGTCGTGACAAGAGATCTGCTGCCGAACGGCCAGATAGCCCTGTTAAATAATTTATGGATGCAAATTATCGAGACACAGAGCAGTGTAAAATAAGTACTGTACCTCATCCCGGATAGCTGACAGGTTAATTTTCCTTTCCCCCCCCCCCCTCTTTTTTTATGCTCCTGCAATTCTCTCACGTCGTTCGTTCATCCTCTGTCCTCGCTCTCCCGATCTGATATCCGACCGGACGATGTACACTGACCCATTCTATCTATACTGGCTGCAACTGCCAGGCTTAGAAGCGTGAGTTGATCATTTGATGATATCTGGTTCTGTACCTGCCTGTCCCTGTGGTATATTAGATCAGTTGAGAGGCTGTCCCTCCTGATGGACCCCATTTACTCTCATCGCTTCCACTCACCCGACATTCCATAACCCACCCCCCCTTTGTTAAATTATCCCCAAGACGAATAAGAAAATATCCGCCCTAAAAGGGCCACCCCAGTGGACCTAACTGATCAGGTTCGGGGGGGAGTTCTAGACATACCCAGCTCCCTAGGGCTGGCTATCTTGGCTGCAATCAAATCCAATCTGGCCCGATCCAACGTGCAGGTTTCCAGTCAAAGTACAGTACATTTGCCGACGCAGGCAAGGCCTGCAACACGTTAGCCCTACAACCCCTCACAGCATCAAGTCGAGGGATCCGCAGCGGGTAGAAATAGAGTTCTGAGCGCCCGACAACCTCTGACCATGAATTCTTCTCTTCCATACCGGCAAGCCTCGCCGCAAACATCAAGACAAGCATCCATGGTTCCACGAAACGAATTGTCTCCGCAAATGGACCATTATATTGGCATCGATGTCGGCACTGGCAGCGCTAGAGCATGCATCATCGATAACAACGGTGACATTGTAGGCTTAGCCTCGGAAAACATTGGCTTGTGGCAGCCACAGCAGGGGTACTATGTAGGTTTCCACCATTTCTTTCGATATAAATTATCACAATTAATTTTAACATCTATGTATGTTATGGCTATGGCTACATTCGATGCTGATAAAATATGTCTAGGAGCAATCTACAAGTGATATCTGGCGCTGCATCTGTCTCTCCGTGCAGCGTGCCATTAGCCAGCAAAATATCAACCCCGCCTCAGTGCGCGGCATTGGCTTCGATGCAACTTGCTCTCTAGCGGTCTTCTCTCATGACGATGACGAGCCTGTCTCCATTACCGGCCCCAACTTCGACACAGATCGCAACGTCATTCTCTGGCTTGACCATCGTCCCGTCGCAGAGACGGAGAAAATTAATGCCACGAATCACAATCTCCTCCGCTATGTTGGCGGGAAGATGTCCATTGAAATGGAAATCCCCAAGGTGCTGTGGCTTAAAAATAACATGTCCAAGCAGCTCTTCGACCGTTGCAAGTTCTACGACTTGACTGATGCCTTGACCCACTTAGCTACGGGTAATGAGAAGAGGAGTTTCTGTAGTGTCGTCTGCAAACAGGGCTATGTTCCCGTGGGTGTTGATGGCAGCGTCAAGGGCTGGCAACCTGATTTTTTGAGTGAGATTGGATTGGAGGAGCTGGCAGAGGATAATTTTCAACGCATTGGAGGTGTCAACGGCGAAGTGAGTCTACTTTTTTTGAGCTTTATGATGGATCTCGAAAGGAAAATTAACTAATTTTTCAAATAGAATGGAGAATACCTCTCTGCTGGTGAGCTAGTAGGCACACTCTGCGACGAAGCAGCCTCACAACTAGGCCTGCCCCCCGGAATTGCCGTAGGAAGCGGTGTCATCGACGCATATGCCGGCTGGATAGGCACCGTCGGCGCCAAAGTCGTTCTCGGACCTGACCAACGGAGCTCCGAAGCAGCCAAGAATGACAAGTCACAAGCCTTCAGCCGCCTCGCAGCCGTCGCCGGTACATCAACCTGTCATCTTGCCATGTCATCAAACCCCGTCTTCGTCTCCGGAGTCTGGGGTCCGTACCGCGACACCATCATCCCGGGCTTCTGGATGGCTGAAGGCGGCCAGTCTGCCACGGGCGAGCTGCTCAAGCACGTCATTGAGACGCATCCAGCCTTCAACCAGGCCCTGTCCGTCGCCGAGTCCTACCACACCAATATCTACGACTATCTCAACGAGCACTTGAAAAAGATGGCTGCGGACGGCAAGGCGCCCAGCATCTCCTATCTAGGCCGTCACTTTTTCTTCTACGGCGACCTGTTCGGCAACCGCTCCCCAATCTCTGACCCAAACATGTCCGGCTCCGTCATCGGCCTGTCAAGCGATAAATCTGTCAGCGGTCTCGCGCTCTACTACTACGCAACACTCGAATTCATCGCACTGCAGACGAAACAGATCATCGACACAATGAATAAAGCCGGTCACAACATCACCTCCATCTTCATGTCCGGCTCCCAGTGCCAGAATGACATTTTGATGAAGCTGATCGCGTCGGCGTGCAGGATGCCCGTGCTGATCCCACGTTACGTGCATGCTGCTGTGTGTCATGGCGCGGCGATGTTGGGAGCCAAAGCGGCCAGTGCAGATGAGAATGGGAAGACGGAGGATTTGTGGGATATTATGGATCGTATGAGTAAGCCGGGGAAGATGGTAGAGCCGACTACGGATGAGTATGAGAAGAAGCTGTTGGAGGTTAAGTATAAGGTGTTTTTGGAGCAGTGTTTTAAGCAGCAGGAGTATAGGAAGGATGTGGATGCGGCGATTGAGGGGTGGGGGAAGAAGGGAGCTGTTCCCTTGTAAGTGTTTGGTTCTATGAATAAAAAGTTGAGGAGGGTAGTAAGTAGTGAACATGTTTAATGAGGTTTAATATTAAATGATGCGGTTTGTCTTTTTGACCATTTTTTTTTTTTTTTTTTTTTTTTTTTTTTTTTTTTTTTTTTTTTTTTTTTTTTTTTTTTTTTTTTTTTTTTTTTTTTTTTTTTTTTACATTTTCTCCTTTAGTGATAAGATTTTTTTTCCCATGTCTGTCTGGTTATGCTCTCGTGCCTCTCCTTCGCCGCATATTGGTTTACTACATTTCCAACTTGCCCATTTGCTCGTCCATCTCTCGATGCCGTGTGAGCGTGAGCTGGTTATGAACTCTTTTTGTATGTGAAGGACCACCAGAAATATTCCATGGCTGCAGGGGAAAGGAAACCGTACAGTTACTTACGGGTAGAGAGAGGATCGATGGTTAGGGCGAAAAGGAGAGACCGAGCTAGGAATGCAATAGGAAATAAACTCGTCATGGCTCGTTCATTCAATGATGAAGCACGGATGGATGAAATGAGGTAATAAACAACAATATCAATAAGGATTTTAAAATTGCATTTCATTTCATGTCATCACATATTATCGGTGTATTATCGCGGTAGCCGGTTTTCTCT